CCCCAAAACCCCAAAACCCCCGCATAATGAATCACAAGCAAATCTTAGAAATATAATTATAAAATTACTAGATTATGATATATATTATTTATATAATTGATAAATAATATATGATAAAAATACTATTGAGTTTTTTCATGGTTTCAACCATGTCTTATGCCTCTTTTATTGATCTGGAATGTAAACAAAGTAATTAAGATTAGCATTATAACAAGAAATCACTCAATCAAAAGTATTATTACTGTGACATTAGAGAAATTCAATAAAATATATTAGCAGAATAAGCATCGACTTAAAAAGGCTAATAATATTTCTCTGCATCAAATCTCCACTCATACACTAATAGTGATGGTACTTTTCCTTATTTTGAGAATGAAATTAAACTATCCACATGCTTTTAATTAAAAAAAATTATTTAGAGTGAGAAAGTAATTTAAGAAGGCTAGTCTCAAAATGATGTTATTTTATAGGGAGGCACTCATTTCGATAATACTGGATATTTAAATGCAATGAGTAATTTAAAAATAGATAAATATAATGTTTAAGCTTCAAAAAATATAAATAATAATGAAGAGATCTCACAAATTACGTTAGTAACTTTAAAATGCGAAACATAGTTATACTTATTTAATAATGAAGAATAATAGAGATAATTCATTGACAGATACTAAATAATTGAAGAAGTTAATGATGAGGTACATGGCAAAGAAATTAAGGATGATGAATCTATCAAAATTATTATTATAGAAATATCTAAAGAACTTATGAGGCTTAAAATATTAGGAATAGAATAGGAATTATTGACTTAGTAACTTTAAATATGAATATCTTCGCTATAATATAGTTTCATTTTGAACGATTCTGAAATTGATCTACTATCAAATCTGGATTTCAGAAAGGTATAATTACTCAATAAAAAATTAGAAAATACTGAAGATGAAACTTAATAATTCAGATCAGCAATAAGAAAATACGAAAATCATTAACTTTTTACTCCATCAAATGAAAAGTAAAACAAAGAAAATGAGTAAGAATTCATATCTGATTCTAAGAAATGATAACTAGTGACTTGTAATTCAGCTACTTTCACTTATAATTAACTTTCTGCGGGTCATTTATATTATTGTACCTAATATATGGGTGATTAATACTTTTCGTTGAAGCATCTAATAGAACTTAAGACATCTAATGTTGTGTGCACTCCTGATGTATATACTTATAGTATCGATTGCATATCAGGTTGTAATCAAGCTGCTTACTCTATTGATTCTTAGACTGGAGTTCTCACAATAAATAGTAACTATAATGCCCATTCTAGTTTCTATTTTGTACTTAATTATGGAGGTAGAAGTATAAGTACTGCTGGGTTTTGGGTCTATTATTGGGCTGGAAGTTGCACCACTTAAACTACTACTACTGTAACAACATCATCTACCACTACCACTTCAACAACAACAACAACAACAACAACAACAACTACCACTACTACCACTACTACGACAACAACAACGACAACAACAACAACCACTACTACTTCTACAACTTCCTCAACTACGAGCTCTACATCTACTAGTACAACAAGTTCCTCTACTACAACTACCTCAACAACAACAACTACGACTCCAATGCCAATTACAACAACAACTACCACAACAACAGTAGCACCAATTGCATCAACTACAACAACATCGACTACTCCCGTTCCTGCTTGCATTAGGAATCAGTAACTAGTTCAATTAACATAAAAAACTATTTCAACATACGTTAACGGTGATTAAGGTACTCAAGCAGCTATAGTTGAATGGTCAGATAAACAGAGCAGTACTCAGTGCTCATATCGATTAATCTTATACTCATCAAGGATTTCATCCTAGGTGATGGCTAATTATCCTGGAAGATACAAAATCATTTTCAATGTTGCATAAGCTTATTTGATTCCTGGTCTTTATACTGAATGACTATGAGGCGAAGTTGATGGTATATTAGTTGGCACAGATATCACACTTTAAATATATGTCACAAATATTGCCAAGTATGATGTCGTTCAAAATACAGCCCCATACTTTAGCAGCAACTTAGAGAATTTAAAAATAACCTATCCTAATTAGATAAGTTATCAACTTCCAGGTATGATTGATGATGAAGAAAACTCTATTACAGTAAAAGTCGACTCTACATAGTAATTTGTTTCTTTTAGTTCAAGCCAAAATTAATTTGTCATTAGTCCGACCATTAAAGATATGGGAAGCTATCAAATCAAAATTACTTTAAGTGATAATGCCAATCTTAAGATGTCTAGAGAATACATTTTAAACTTAGTAGTTGAAGTGCCTTAGGAATATCTAGATAAACTGGTAGATAATTCCTATCTTGGTGGGAGTGATATCAATTATAATGGAAGTGATAATTCCAAAAATATTAAGCGTTTGAAGCTTACTGCATAGATTCAAAGTATAGATCAACTTGGTAAGGTAATTGTAAAGTATAATTAGCAAATGAGCACTATTAAAAATCTTACTTATTATGAGTAAAATACAACTATGAAATTAGATATTATTGCTTTTGATGGGTAAAACTAAGATAAGCTAAAGTTTAAATGGAAAATTCTGGAGTTTGAAGGATCAATTATGAAAATATAGCTTTTATTTGATAATCCTCTATCAATATCTTATCAAAGATATAATGATCTTCAAATAATTTTCAAAGATCCACTGATCTTTGTAAACAAGGATAGAAATTTATAATTCTAGAAAAATTATAAGATATTTAGATATATTCCAAGATAGTATGAAAATGATGGTAAACTTATATTTAAAATAAATATTTCTTTCAGATATATCAGCGCTTTTGGATTAAAACAGGGATACAATGTAAAAAGGTGCACAGATGGTAACCTATGGAAATGTTTTATTAAATCTGGCATTGTAAGTAATTATAATATTTAATAAACTAAACAGATCAACATCCCTATAATATTTGTGGGGAATGGTTAATGCTTAGCAAATAATCCTTCATATGCCTTTGCTTAATGTAAATTTCCCTGCAAACGCCTAAATGGTATTTCTGATGATATTTGAAGTGACAAATTTCAACCTTCTACCCTCTGAACTTATTATTTCAAATATGTTTAATTTTGAAGATGATTAAGCTTATAGTAATAATTTTGAAGAATACGATATCTTTAAAGAATAAGTTTTTGAAATCAAATTTAACTCCTCTAAGCTATTCATCTAGATACATGATTACTAATCTAAGTTCAATATTTATATTTGGTTGTGTTATTTTAGGAGTATATTGCCTTTATTTTATTTTTACCATCTTAAAACTACACTAGTTTAAATAGTAAATAAGGATTTTGATTAACTTGATTTAGCACTAAGGGGTTCATGGCTTTTATGAAAAGGCTTCTCTTTTACAATTTTCTACTGAGATATTACTTTGAAAGTTATATTGAGTTTACTATAAATGGGCTTATCAATGCTAAAAAAGCTGATTATTACAATTCAAGCGCTATATTCTCAGCATTGCTAGCCTACATTTCTTTGCTTTTAGCTGTGATATTCCCTATTTTTATCATTTATAAAATTATGAGAAATAAAACTCTCTTAGGCTAAAAAGAATTTGATAGTCAATATGATTCTTTATATGAACAGCTAAACACACAAAAATTTACTAACATTTCTTATAATGTAATGTTCCTGGTGAGGAGGTTTATTTATGCCTTGATCATTGTATTGGTTGATGAGTCCCCTGTGTTTTAAATTTAAGTTTAAATTATGACAAGCTACTTTATTCTATTCTTTATGATCTATTTAAAACCGTTCAAAGATTTGAATGTATTTTACTTGGAAGTATTCAATGAGTTTTGCATTCTTGGGATTTCCTATAGCTTATTTCTATTCACTGATTTCATGCCTGATAATCCAGAAATGTAATACTAAGTTGGTTGGCACTTGGTTTGTTTGGCTCTCCTAAATATGTTAGTAAACATGATCTATATGACAATTGTAACTCTCAGATAACTTTTTTAAAGTATTAAATCTTGCTGTTAAAAAGCTAGGAAGAAATATCACAACAAATATTAAGCACATAAATAAAATAAATCGCCTGTTGTGCCATAATTTATTCCTTCAAAGTTGAAAATATCACTAAAATTGAATACGCTGATTAATTTTAATTAAACAATAAATAAACTGAAAATCAAATCTTCGAATAGCACTCATCCATAAAATACTGAGAGCTGCTAGGTTGGAATTCCTATATAAAATTAAAATCAAATAATGAGCAATGTATCAATTTAAGAAATTTTCTGTCCCTCAGATGAGTCATTAAGTGAGTAGCCATTCAATGACCTGCCAAGCAGATTTAGAAATAAATAGATAAAATCTAATCATGTAAATAGTAACTTAAGTTTAATTAATCCAGTTACTTAAGTCAGGTATGAAAATAAATAATACAAGCCAAGCAGTATTGAATCAGTTTAGGAGATTGACTGTTAGGAATTTTAAGCTTATAATTTTGATTCTAAGGATCCGACTAATGATTACGATTAAAATAGTTTTTCAATGTAAAAATAACGGCTTAGGTAAAATTATGAGGATGAAATTACAAGAAATTTTGAAGATTATTACTCATATTACAATAGTAATGCACTCCCATATTCTCCAGAATTGAATAAGAAAATTATCCATCAAAGACACCAATCATCCAATATGTTACGATAAATCTTAAATAAGTAAGAGAATAATATGTAGATTAATTATAATTAAGTAGAAAATTGAAACAAGAAACTAGAAATTAGTAAATGCCAGAAGTGAATTGAAAAGTATAAAATTTTAATAAGAAAATATGGTTATTAATAAAACTATAAATCCCGTAATTGATAAGATCTCAGCATGACTATGATATCATTATCCTAATTATGGGTTCACAGAATTAATAATATTAAGAAACTGAAGCCGTTTTTAATGATTATGAAATAAATTTAATAAGTGAATTATTTCTTACTGCGTTCATATGCTCAATAACTTGATTGATGGGGTTTTGGGGTTTTGGGGTTTTGGGG